CCCCAAATACCCCCAAACACCCCCCCAATACCCCCTATACCACCCCTATACCCCCCTATACCCCCCTATATCCCCCTATACACCCCAGTCCCAACCCCCCCATCCCCAAAAGTTTCTCAGCGGATTTGGGCTGCACTCATCAAGAGCAGTACAGCTTCCAGCTCAGATCTGAAAAAAAATTAGTAGACGGTTGTTTTCTGACTGGTCGGCAGACCGCCAACCAGTCGGCCCTACTGGTCGGCTGCAATACAGTCGGCAGTCGGGGTCGGCGGTCGGCAGGGATGCAACCATGCCATCCATGTCAAACACTACGTCTCTACAACTTCTACTGTCTTGCCCCCCCATCCTCGATTCTCGCGATCTTCACTCTTCTCGCCGTGGGCGGAGCCGTGGCGGATCCACTTGTTTTCTCTAATGGATGAATGAGTGGAATATGAGAATGGGTGCTCTCATGAATTAGCAGCGAGCCTAGGTATGGGTCATATGGGTCCAGCTTAATACTAGTATCCCACGTAAGAATCCCTTGAACCCCGGAGTAGGAAACGCAGGCTGATCACCCGCATGATTTTTTTTAGTGTATGATTGGATGCATATGTGGGTTTGGATGCTCTCGCAATTTGGTGGCAATCATGGCATAACTCTCTGTAATCAGAGTCACTCACAAAAAGATACCCCATTATTATTTTTTACCTTGTATAAAGATCCCTCTTGATGACGTGTATAAATACTAGATGCTTGGGGTCACGTGCGATACTTAAGCAACCCCACACACAGAGTCTGGGCCTACGAATGGTGATCCTCGTATCGGCATAGGCCTGGGTGCCGCTTGTGAGATTGTTTGGATACACGATTGGTTGGTGCACATACCTACTTTTAAATTTTAATCTAGGCAGGATAATCTCCAACCCATGACTTTTTACGACTACCAAGTCCTTCGGAGATACGGCCCAGGTCATTTGACTGTGCAGGTACCTGAACCACTATGACCCGATATAGCCACAATGGATTCCCGTATGGGGCCGATTGGCTGGGTAAATCCTGTGCATGCCTGACAAGGAGAACGGGGGTGCACCGATATATTATTTTGAAGTTTGATCGTGATACGTTTAACGTATCATGCTTTGACATGTTGTCTTTTCACATGGCGTACTCTCTCTCTCTCTTTCTCTCTCTCTCTCTCTCTCTCTCTCTCTCT